CTCGGGGGCTCGTGAGGTGTGCGCTCTGGATGCCATGGGGGCCTCCCCAGGAATCCTTGTGGTACCTTGGGACAGGGACACTTCTAGCAGCACCCGAGGTATAGGTGCCCTGCCCGCCTCCGCTGAGTCTCCCGGCCTCCCCCGCCGCCCGGCTTCGGGCTTGCGGCGACTCTCAGAGCAGGGATACAAAGCTAGTGTTTGGCGCCTCCGAAGGTTTTCGGGGCTTCGGGAGGTTCTCGGTGCCACGGCTGGGCTCAGCTCGAGAAGCCGGCCATGCTGGACACTGGCAGGGGTCTGAAGCCGACGATTTTGCTAGAATTGCTCGGAGTGGGCAAGCCTAGACCCCCGACGTCATGATTGTTTCGAAGCGTCGGGCCCCAGAGGTCTGGACCCCTTCCCCGGGACCGGCTTTTCATCCTGAGCCGTTTCTTGACGGTCCCGGGGCCCGGCAAGGGCCCCCAGAGGCCGAAAACATAACGACCCCCCTTCCCACCGCGACCTTTTCTCAACGCGAGGGGGTCTGGGAGGCAAGCGTGCCGATACGGATATCTTTCTCTCGCCTTCGCCTGTGTTGGGCCTCGTGGCCGCCGTTTCGTCGCCACGGCTGGGCCCGCCGCCTCGGAGTCCCGGTCGGGACGCGCCCCCGTGGGGAAGTTTCGGGGCGCAGCGGCATCGGGATCCGACTGGTCCCCTCCATTGTTGTCAGGAGGGGGGAAAGCACACAGACACAGTGAATCGTCGACTCTCGGGACCATATGGGGAAATATGAGAAATGGGGGAAGACGGAAATTCAGAAAATATGGAACTATGGGGAATCCTTGGATTTGCGTGTATTTATTTATGTCCCAGCTTTGGTCATACCGCCCTTTGGACTTTTCCTTGCGGGCCGCAAATCAAAAAGTGTATTTATTTGTGTGTCCCTGGGCCCCACCGACGCCGGGCTAGGAAGGTTTCCGTGCCTCGAACCCACGGACCGCAGCTCCGCCGCAGGCGTGGTGTACGTTTTGAAGCAGGTCGCCACGCTTGTGGAGAGGCAGTCGGCGGCGAGTCCAGGGGGGAGGTGAGAAGGGGCGGGCCTTCTCAGAAGGCTCGGGAGTCCCCTGGCCTTCTTCGAAGTTCTCGAAGCCTTTCCCGCAGACGCAGAACACCCTTCAGATGGCGCGAGGGCTTCTGAGAAGTCCCGCCGCCTTCTGAGGAGGCCTTCTCCTTCTCACTTCCCCCCTCGCTCGCCACCGAGAAAGAGTATATGCGCAGGCTCGCTCTCTTGGCTGTTGACAGCCTAACTTTTTGTGCTCTTGCGCCGTCTCTATCGGCACCGAACAGCGGGGGGCGGCGCGGAGTGTCAGCCGCTCGGGCGACATTTGAAGCAGCGGGGCGCGGTGGAGATGGACGGATGATGACTGTGCTGTTGTTTCTGATGATGATGGTGGTGAGATGGTGAGATGATGATGCTGAGGCTGAGGCTGAGGATGAGGATGATGAGGCCGATGATAGTTAGAATGTGGATGGTATCGAAGATGCGGGTGATGAGGACATGATGATGAGGAGGATGGTGATGAGGATGATGAGGACGATGACGATTATGTTGATGATGATGTTGCTGATGCTGCTGACGATGATGATGACGATGGTGATGATGATGATGATGATGATGATGATGATGCGAATGATGGCGATGATGTGATAATGCTGAGGATGATGATGCTGATGACGATTATGATGATGATGATGCGGACCACGGTATGGTGATGCAGATGATGATGATAATGGTGATGATGATGATGTTGAGCAGGATGACAGCGATGAGGACGATGAGGATGAGGATGATACTGATGATGATGAGGATGATATTGATGAGGCTGAGGACTTTGATGGCAAGTATGATGATTATGATAAGGATGAGGTTGATGACGTCGATGATAATGCTGTTGCTGATAATGATGATGCTGATGATGCTGTTGATGATGCTGGTAATAACCATGACGGTGATGATGACGATGATGGTGGTGACGATGATGCTGATGACGGTGATGACGACGATGATGGTGATGATGATGTTGAGGATGATGGGCAGGAGAAGAACAATGAGGGCGATGATAATGGTGATGATGATGCTGATGATGTTGATGCTCATGATGATGATCATGCTGATGACGATGATGATGGTGATGCTGATGATGATGATGATGCTGATAATGATGCTGGGGACGATGATGAGGACGAGCATGATGAGACTGAGGAATCTGATGATAATGGTGACGATGAGGACACTGGTTAGGATGTTGATGCTGATGGTGATGATGATGGTAATGATACTGATACTGATGATGATGATGATGATGATGATGATGATGATGATGATGATGGTGATCACGACTTTGATGACGATGACGGTGATGACAATAATGATAACGGTGATGATGGTGATGGTGGTGATGACGATGGTGATGGTGAGATGACGAGATGATGGTGGTGATGATAAGGGTGAGGATGAGGATGATAATGAGGATGATGAGGATGGTGGTTCGGACAGGTACCATAACGAGGATGAGGACGATGATGATCATTTTGTCGAGTATGGTGATGAGGATGGTGAGGACGATGCTGATGATAGGGATTCTGGTAATTGTGATGCTGATCATGATGACCACGATGATGATGATGATGATGATGATGATGATGATGATTATGGTACTGATGATGATACTGATGATGATGCTGATGATGGTGATGGTGATGACGATGACGTCCTAAATATGAGGCTGACGGCACTGATGATGATGGTTATGTTTACGATGTTGTTGATGATGATGCTGATGCGGGTAATGATATGGTGATGTATGTTAGTGCTTACGATGCTGATGATACTGATGCTGATGCTTGACATGGTGAGCATGCTGGTAACGATTAGGACGATGGCGATGTTGATGAGGATGGTACTGAGAATGCTGAGGATTAGGATAATGATGCTGAGGAACTTGATGGTAAAGGTGACGACAGGGATACGTACTAGGCTGATGATGTCGATGATGTTGATGCTGGTGATGATTAGGATGATGATGTTGATGATGGTGCTGATGATGACGATGATCATGATGATGAGGCTGATGATGCTATTACTGGGGGTGGTAGCATTGTGACGTGGATGATGATGATAATGATGATGAGGATTCTGATGATGATGCTGATGGTGATGCCGATGATGACTACGACGACGTGGATGAGGAGAACGATGAGGCTGATGAGAATGAGGATAAAGATGGTACTGATAGCAATGATGATGATATCTAAGCTGAATCTGATGTTTCTGGTGTTTTGATGAGGGTACTGGTAAGGAGGCTGATGCTGATGCTGCTGATGATAATCATGATGATGCTGCTGACGCTGACGATGACGGTGGCGACGAGAATGCCGATGATAGTGATGATGAGGATGGTGATGCTGACGATGATGATGATGATGATGATGAGCATGATGATGGTGATGTGACGACGGTGGTACTGATGAGGCGTATAAGGATGAGGAAGACTGCGAAGATGATGGTTAGGGTAGGACTGATGACGATGATGGGGATGATGATGATGATGATGATGATGATGATGAGGGTCATGCTGATGAGGATGATGATGATGATGATGATGATGATGATGATGATAAGCAAGGCGTTGATGATCCTGATAATTTAAATGCTGATGATGCTGGTGATGATGCTGATGATGATGACGATGTTGCTGCTGATGCTGATGATGCTGCTGATGATGCGGATGATGATCTGATAATGGTGAGGACGATGATGATGCGGGTATTGGTCTTATGTTGCACATGATGGTTATGATTGTGCGTACGATGATGATGATGATTCTGGTGATGATGAGCAGGATGGTGTCGGTGAGGACGATGTGGATGAGGATGATGATGTTGCTAAGGATGATGAGGATGAGCATGATGAGGCTGATGAATCTGCTTGTGATAGTGGTGGTGAGTATACGGATGAGTTTGATGATTATGAACATGTTGATGGTCATGTTGCCGATGATGCTGCTGCTGATGATGATGAGGACGATAATGGTGGTGATGTGGGTAATGATCTGATGATGTGGCTGATGATGTTGTTGATGATGATGGTAGTGATGACGATGACGATGCGGATGAGGATGAGGATGATGATGATGATGCTGATGCTGGTGATGATTGGCAGGGAGGAACGATTAGGACGATGAGGATGAGGATGAGGATGCTGGCAAAGATGCTGATGACGACGATCAGGACGAGGATGATGATGCGGAGTTAGCTGATGGTAATGTTGTTGATGATGATGATGCTGATGATGATGACGATGATGATGATACTGGTGACGATGCTGATGATGATAGTGATGCTGAGGATGCTGGTGATGATGATTGTGACGACGATGGTGATGACGATTACGATGATGACGATGTTGAGGGTAATGATGATGCTGCTGATGATGATGACGATGATGATGATGCTGAGGATGATAATGATGATGATGGTAATGATGACGATTCCAATGATGATGATGATGATGATGATGATGATGATGATGATGATGATGATGAAGAAGATGATGATGATGATGATGATGATGATGATGATGATGATACTGATGATGATGAAGCTTCGTGCGATGCTAAGCAGAATGATAAGCAGCTTGATGAATCCCACGGTAATGGTGATGATGAGGATAAGGTTGTGGATGTTGGTGAGGGTGATGTTACTGTTTATGATAATGCTGATGCTGATGACCATGATGATTATGCTGATGTTGATGGTGACGACAATGATGCGGTTCATGATGAGGATGTGGATCATCATACGATGGCGCACGTTTTGATTTGATGATGATGGCGATGTTACTGATGCTGATGACGCTGCTGCTGATCATGAGGCTGCTGCTGCTGGTGATGATCGGCGGAATAAGACGGATGAGGCGAGGAGGATGAGGCTGATTCTGATACTGAGGGCGATGCTGATGATGAGGGTGATGAGGCTGTTGAATCTTATGGTAACGGTAACCATGAATATACGGATGAGGACGTTGATGATGATGCCGATGGTGATGACAATTCCGATGATGATGTTGATGATGATGATGTTGATGCTGGTGGTGGTGATGATAATGATGGTACTGCTGCTGCTGATGATGCTGATGATGCTGCCCATTATGATGATGAGCATGGCGGTGATGACGATGATGTCGATGATGCTGATGCTGATGATGATTGTACTGTCGATGCTGTCGCTGCTGTTGATGGTGATGATGATGTTGAAGATGATGGTGATGAAGTTGTTGATGTTGTAGACGTTGATGAGGCTGATGCTGATGATGCTGAGCAGGATGGGAAGGTTGAGGACATTAGGGATGCGGCTGACACTGGTACTCGGGATGGGAACGATGATGGGGGATATGAGACTGAGGAATCCGAGGGTAATGACAATGACGGGTATGCGGATGCTGATGAAGATGTTGATGCTGATGTTGATGCTGATGCTTGTGGTGATGATACTGGTGATGCTGCTGATCATGATGGTGACGATGACGATGCTGATGGCGATGATGCTAATGGTGATGGTCATCGTGATGCGGAGTATGATCTGATGATGTGGGTGACGACGATGGGCGATGAGGGTGATGATGGTGACGACGACGGCGATGCTGACGATGATGACTATCATGATGCTGCTGATGATGATGGAGGTGATGATGCTGATGATGATGCTGATGCTGATTATGGTGATGGCGGTGCTGAGCAGGATGATAACGATCAGGACGATGAGGATGAGGGTGACACTGAGAACGCTGACGAGGATGTGGATGACGAGGCTGAGGAGTTTGATGGTGATGTTGATGATGAGGATTAGACGTGGAATTGTAACGAGGACGACGGCGACGAGAACGACGACGACGATGATGCTGATAATGGTGCTGATACTGCTGATGATGATGACGATGATCTTGACGATGATGCTGATTACGATCGTAACGACGATGATGGTAATGCTTCGCAGAATGATGATGATGATGATGATGACAACGATGATGATGATGATGATGATGGTTATGATGATGATGATGATGATGATGATGATTATGATGATGATGATGATGATGATGATGATGATGATGATGATGATGATGATGATGATAATGGGAACGATGATGCTGGTACTGATGCTGACGAGGTGGATGCTCAGTATGCGGATGCTGATGGTGATGCTAATGCTTGTTAGGATGGGGGTGAAGACGAGGATGCTGGTGATTATGATGATGCTGATGCTGATGATGATTATTTTTTCATGAGGACGATGGTGATGAGGACGATAAGGACGAGGACGGGGACGAGCATGAGGATTAGGATGGTGATGACGACGAAGTGGCCTAGGGCGAGGACGGTGACGATGGTACTGATAGTGCTAATCGTGGTGATGCCGATCTTGATGATGCGGAAGTTGATAATGACGAGGTTCATGAGGGGGAATTTGAGGATGATTAGGATAAGGATGAGGAGGATGAGAGCGAAGATGAGGACGATGATGATGAGGAGGAGGATAATCTTGAGGATTCTTAGGACGACGACATAGACGAAGATGAGTACGATAATGATGATTCTGGTGATGATGATGACGATGATGATGACGATTATGATGCTGGTGATGATGCTGATGATGGGTATGATTCGATGAGGATGATAATGATGGTGATGATGATGTTTCTGACCATGAGGATGTGGATGGTGATCAAGTGTCAGGATGATGACGATGATGAGGATGATGAGGTGGTGATGGTGATGCTGATGATGATCATAATAGGATAGGATGCTGCTGTTGAGGAGTAGGGTAGAATGATGATGATGCTGATGCTGCTGATGATGCTGATGATGGTGATGATGATGATGATGATGATAAGGATGAGGGGGATGAGGTCGATGATGAGGACGATGGTGAGGATGATGAGGACGAGTACGAGGACACGGACGCGGTTGAGGACGAGGATGATGATGAGGATGATCAATTGCTAGTGGTAATGATGCTGCTGATGATGGCGATGCTGCTGCTGATGATTGCGATGATGGCGATGATGATGGCGATCATGACGACGATGATGTTCATGATGCTGATGCTGATGCTGATGCTGATCGTTACGACGATGATGGTGATGATGGTGATTATGATGACGATGCTGATGATGATCATGACGATGACGATGAGGGGGGGTGACAACGATGGTGGTGGCTATGATGGTGAAAGTGATATTGACGGTGATTACGATGCTGCTGATGATGACGATCATCATGGTGGCGATTACGATGGTGATGATGTAAGAGGAGGAGCAACAGCACTTGCTGGCTAAGCGTGCTGGCCGCATCCCCGCGCCCCGGGGCTCTCGCCTGGGCCTCTCCCGCTCCTGGGGGGGCGGCTTTGTAGTGGCGGAGGCCCGCCGGGGGCGACGGGCGCCTCGGGCCCGTGCCGCGTCCGGCGGACGAGACGGCCAAGGCTCCGGGCCGGCTACACGGGGCCGGGCGTGAGATCGGCGTCACCCCAACATTCTGATATTATGTGAGGCGTTCCAAAATTTGGCCTTGCCTTCGAGGATCGAAAGTGTTGTCATCTCCTCCGCCGCGGAAGGCGGCGGAAGGTCGGCGAAAGTAACACGAGGCCGCCTCCGCGGGCGGAAGCCGGCGGAAGGGCGGCGGAAGGTGGTGGAAGTAAAAAACACGCCTCCCAAGAGATGACAACCTTTTTGGGTTCAGGGTCAACATCCGTGGTGCAGTATGTGTGGTGCAACCTATGTGCAATAGTCTATGTAGAGCAACCTATGTGGTGAAATCTATGTGGTGCATTTAATTTTTGTTCGCAGTGAGTTGTCGACTCCATTGCTCGCGCAGTGATCCCATTTACCCACCCACAACTTGGTTTGCAAAACGCATGCGGTGGCGATTGCGATGAGTGCTTGGCGTTGGCTGGTCCATCTCTGCGGCCGTGCCAACCCAAGCACGCGCGCGCAGCGGCCAGCTAGTTTGGCGCAACCGGCGCGGCCGCGGTGGCGCTGACCGTTGGGCACATCCCAGCGGGACTTCAGTGCGAGTTGGCGACTTGGGCGGGCGCGGTATCATGGCAACGTCGACGGCGGTACACACAATCATAATAGTAGCGATGCTGGTGGCGATATTGACAAGGAAGACGGCGCGGCCAGTGCGGGCGCCGATGTTGATCACGCCGACGACGATGACGGCGTCCTCGCGTCGGTGATGAAGGCTTTGGAAAGAGTTCGACATGCGCGTGCGGCCGACGCGCGAAAGTGACGGATTGTGCCCCCCCAGCACGCGCGCAAGGGCGAGCGAATGATTTCGGCTTGCGGCGCCAGGGGCCCGTTTGGCAGAAGTCCATGACAATGTTGAAACCTACGGGGTTCTGCAGAATCAGCGAAAACGCGAGCGCACGTTTTCTGTTGCAAATTGATGTTGCGCAACCATGTGTGTTGTATATCTTGTTTTGAAATTGATACGAAACCAGAGGTTTTCGAAAGATCCGGCATGCGCGCGCGACGACGCGCGCGTGTGCGCTTCGTTTTTATTTTTTTGCAAAGGGCTCTCGCGTCGGCACGCGCTCAAGGGCGTCCGAACGATTTCGAAACACGCTCGCGCGAAGCCCGCTTGGTAGCATTTTCATAAAATGATGAATATCAAATGGTTTCCTGAAGAAACCGCAAGAACGCGCGTTTTTTTCTCATGCGGTTCCCAAATCCATACGAATCCCAAACAAGTTCTTTTACAAGGAATTCGGCATGCGCGCGACAACGCGCGCGTGTGCAGTTCGTGTCGCTTTTGTTTTGCAACGGATTCTTGAAAACTGATGGTTTTGGTCAACGAGTGTGCGCGCATACCGTTTTCTGCAAAAGGACGGTGGGGGGGGGGTCGACACCGGTTCGGCTGGCATGGTATGACTTCATACTTCGGATGGGCGATGGGGCAGAATCGTATGCAAATGGCAATACGAAAAAGAGGACGGATAGTTCTGGCCTCGGGAGGGTGGTGGGCTCTATTTTTTTCTGAAATGAGGATCTACGTTGTGCAATTGGTTTTTACACATGATTTGACACATCCCACGTTCTTGCCACCATCCCACCCACCCACCCGCAACTTGGTTTGCAAAACCTTTTAAGACCGTGACAATAGGTACCAACTGGCACTTGGCAACGACGCCGACGACGACAGCGACGACGACGACGCCGACGACGACGATTACGACGACACCGACGACTTCGACGGCAACGACAACGACGACGACGACGACACCGACGACGACGACGCCGACGCCGACGACGACCACGATGACGACGCCGACGACGACGGCGCCGACGACGACGACGACGTCGACGGCGCCGGCGACGACGACGACGACGACGACGGCGGCGACGACGACGACGCCGACGTCGACGACGACGACGACGTCGCCAACGAAGACGGCGACGACGACGAGGGAGGAGGGAGGACGACGACGGCGACAACGGCCACAACGACGAGGGAGGAGGGAGGACGGCGACGACGCGAACGACGAAGAAGGAGGGAGGACAGCGACGCCGACGACGACAACGACGAGGGAGGAGGGAACACGACGACGACGACGGCGACGAAATAGGCGGGACGACGACGAGATGCCGACGACGGACGACGACGACGTGTGAGGAGGAGGGAGGACGACCACGGCGACAACGACGGCGGAAACGACCACGACGCCAAAGAGGACGGCGACGACGACGACGACGACGTCGCCAACGAAGACGGCGACGACGACGAGGGAGGAGGGAGGACGACGACGGCGACAACGGCCACAACGACGAGGGAGGAGGGAGGACGGCGACGACGCGAACGACGAAAAAGGAGGGAGGACAGCGACGCCGACGACGACAACGACGAGGGAAGAAGGAAGACGACGACGACGACGACGACGGACGGCGACGAAATAGGAGGGATGACGACGAGACGCCGAGGACGGACGACGACGACGAGGGAGGAGGAGGAGGAAGGACGACCACGGCGACAACGACGGCGGAAACGACCGCGACGCCAAGGAGGACGACGACGACGACGAGGAAAGACAGAGGACGACGACGGCGACGACCACGACGACGAGGGAGGAGGGAGGACGGCGACGACGACGACGACGCAAGAGCGCGCGCGCACGTTTTTGGTGAGAATCCATGTTGCGAAACCTTGTGGTTTTGTATGTTTATTGGACACGATTTTGGAATCCTTCCGAAACCGAAGGTTTTTGAAGGATTCCGGCATGCGCGCGCGACGACGCGCGCGTCTGCACTTTGTTTCGTTTTTTTGCAGCGTATTCTCGAGACGGCACGCGCGTAAGGGCGTTGGAAAGATTTCGACATGCGAGCGCGCGAAGCCCGTTTGGCAGTATGTTTGACAATCTTGAACAACCAATGGTTTTCATTAGATTTCGCAAGAGCGCGCGTGTAAGTTGTTGTATCAAGTCAGTGTTGCGAGACAATGTGTGTTTGTAGTTGTTGTTTGGGAACTCGTTTGCGAAATCCTTCAGAAATCGACGGTTTTTGAAGGATTTCGGCATGCGCGCGCGACGACGCCCGCGTGTGCACTTCGTTTCATTTGTTGCACGGGATTCTTGAACACTTTAGATTTTTGATGAACGTGTGTGCGCGCATAGAAGTTTGTTGCAGAGATTGGCGGGGGGGCCATACCAGCCTGGCTGGGATAGTATGATTTCATTTTCAGGATGGACGAGTGTGCAGAAGCACATATTAATTGCACTACGAAAAGGTATACCGTTAACTCAGGGGGGGTATCGTCTATTCTTCTTTTAGAAAGGAGAGTCTATGTGGGGCATTTTATGTGGTGCAACCCAGACTGCTAAACTTGAAGTCGTCATCTCCACTGCTCGCGCAAACATCCCACCCACCCACCCGCAACTTGGTTTGCAAAACCTGTAAAGACCGACTACGACGACACCGGCGACAACGACTAGGACGACACCGACGACATCTCCGACGGCTTCGACGAGGACAACGACGCCGACGCCGACGACGACGAAGACGACGACGACGACGCCAACGAAGGCGACGACGAGGGAGGAGGAAGGACGACGACGGCGACCACGACGACAACGACGACAACGACGAGGGAGGAGGGAGGACGGCGACGACGCGAACGACGACGAAGGAGGAAGGACGGCGACGCCGACGACAACAACGGCGAGGGAGGAGGGAAGACGACGACGACAAAGACGACGACGACGGCGACGAAATAGGAGGGACGACGACGAGACGCCGACGACGGACGACGACGACGACGTGGATGGAGGAGGAGGAAGGACGACCACGGCGACAACGACGACGGAAACGACCGCGACGCCAAAGAGGAGGACGACGACGAACACGAGAAAAGACAGAGGACGACGTAGGCGACGACGACGACGACGCGGGAGGAGGGAGGACGGCGATGACGACGACGACGCTAGAGCGCGCGCGCACGCTTTTGTTGACAATCCGTGTTGCGAAACCTTGGGTTTTTGTAGGTTTTTTGGACGCACGATTTTGGAATCCTTCCGACACCGATGGGTTTTGAAGGTTTTCGGCGTACGCCCGCGACGACGCGCGCGTCTGCACTTCGTCCCATTTTTTGCAAAGGGTTCTCGCGACGGCACACGCGCAAGGGCGTTCGACAGATTTCGACATGCGCGCGCGCGAAGCCCGTTGGGTAGCATTTTGTGAAAATCTTGAAAAACGCATGGTTTTCTTAACATTTCGCAAGAGCTCAAGCGGAAGCTTTTTTAGCACATCAGTGTTGCGAAGCCATGTGTCTTTGTATGTTTTTTGGGAACTCGATTGCAAAATCCTTCCAGCACCGAAGGTTTTTGAAGGATTTCGGCATGCGCGCGCGACGACGCGCGCGTGTGCACTTCGTCCGGTTTTTTTACAAAGGATTCGCGAAAAAGTGCTACGTTAGAACAAAACATGTCATCGTTTTTTTTTTTTTTTTTTTTTTTTTTTTTATTTACAAAAGAACCTCAGGGGGGGAACCCTGTTTGGCTGGGATGATATGATTTCATATTTAGGATGGACGAGTGTGCAGAATCTATATCTATATTTATATATATATATACATATATATGTATGTGTATATATATAGATATATATGTGAAATCATACTATCCCAGGGGGTACCGATCAGTCCGGGGGGGGGGGTAGCGTTTATTTTTTTAGAAAGGAGAATGAGTTCCTGTTCGCAGAGAGTTGTCCACTCCATTGCTCGCGCAAGCGTTAAGCATTCCACCCGCTCACCCGCAACTTGGTTTGCAAAACCTCTTAAGACCGTGACGGTGGGTACCACATGGCACTTGGCAACGACACCGACGCCGACGAAGACAGCGACAACGACGACGACGCCGCCGACAACGATTACGACGACACCGAGGACGTCTCCAACGACTTCGGCGACGCCGACAAC